CATCATTGATGGCGTCAAGTGTGGTGGTGGTAGTGAGGTTGGCCAAGGATCGGACATTGTTTCATTCTGCTGTGCATAGGGTTGCTATGAGTCGGTTCTGACTCTATGGCACCTGACAACAACAACATCAGAGCTCCTTATGTACCCACTGTATATATGGGGTTTTCTAAGAGCAGTTGGTGAACTTAAACTTCCAACCGTGCAGTTCAATTGGAATTGCAGTCTAGTACAATAAACCACAGCCACACAGCAAAGGTGTATATATATACGTATGGAGCTCTGTTAGCGTAGTGATTACGAATCTGGCTGTGGTCGTCACGGTCAGCGGTTCTAAAACACCAGCTCTTCCATGGCATAAAGATGAGGCTTTCTGCTCCCGTGAATTTTTACAGCCTCAGAAACCCTGTATAGGATCCCTATGTCAGAACCCAACATTTATTTATTTATTTATTTACAAACAAACAAACAAACAAACAAACAAACAAACAAATAAATAAATAAATATATTCAGTGTCTTGGTGTGGTGCTGTCCATTAATTCGCCAGACAGCAAAACTGTTTGAACTGCTAAGTTGGTGATTCAAGCTCACCAGCTGCTCCTTGTAAATTCTATGTAGGGTCTTACATAGGGAGCTATGTTGGGGTAGAGGTTACAAATCGCACTTCAATCCTCACTGAGGGTCAACAGTTGTAAACTACCAAATGTTTCATGCATTAAACATGAAGCTTTCTTCAATAATGATGTACACCCTCAGAAGCCCTGTACAATGTCTCTAAGTTTCAGAAACGACTTTATGGCATATATATATGTACATGTACATATACATTTATATTTATAAAGAGTATGAGAGCGACAGGAAAATAGATCTTGATATAAAGCTGGAGGGGAGAGTTGGAGCGAGAGTTGGAACGAGAGAGAGATTTGGTGTCCTGGTGTGGGAATGTGGATTATTGCACCAGACTCCAAAGCTGTTTTACCTGCAAGACTGGCGGTTCAAGTTCACCAGTTGCTCCTTGTAAACGCTGTTGTTATTGTTGTGTATCATGCAGTCATGTACGACCTATAGCAGCCCTGTACAGGGTTTCTGAGGCTGTAAATCTTTACAGGAGCAGAAAGCCTCTTCTAATTCCCATGGAGCGGCTGGTGGATTCAAACTGCTGGCCATAAGGTTCGCAGCCATGTCCTTAACTACTTCACTAACTGAGCTCCTTATAAATCCACTGCCCTACCAGAGCTCCTTATTTACCTACTGTATATATAGGATTTTCTAAGAGCAGTTGGTGAACTTGAACTCTCAACTGTCCAGTTCAATCGGATTTGCAGTCTAGTACAATAAACCACAGCCACACAGCAAGAATACAAATATACATATATATAAATTTTTATATATATGTATGTATGTAGCTCTGTTAGCGTAGTGATTATGAATCTGGCTGTGGACGTCACAGTCAGCGGTTTGAAACTACCAGCTCTTCCATGGCATAAAGATGAGGCTTTCTGCTCCTGTGAATTTTTACAGCCTCGAAAACCCTGTATAGGATCTCTGTGTTGGAACCGACTCCAGGACACATAACAATATACATATATATATATTCAGAGACCTGGTATGTCTCTGTGGCTTAATTCGCCAGACAGCAAAGCTGTTTGAACTGCAAAGTTGGCGGTTCAAGCTCACCAACTGCCTCTCGTAAACCCTGTACAGGGTCTTATATAAGGAGTTCTGTTGGGGTAGAGGTTACAAATCAGGCTTAAAAACCTCACTGAGGACTGTTCTTCTGGGATGCGGGTGCATGCACTGCAGTGGACTGGTTTTCCGAGTTGGCCGTGCCTGCGGAGAAGGCCGTGACCTACTACACCCTAGAGGAGATCCAGAAGCACAACAACAGCAAGAGCACCTGGCTCATCCTGCACCCCAAAGTGTACGATCTCACCAAGTTCTTGGAGGAGCATCCTGGTGAAGAAGAAGTCTTAAGGGAACAAGCTGGTGGTGATGCTACTGAGAACTTTGAGGATGTTGGCCACTCTACAGATGCTAGAGAAATGTCCCAATCATACGTCATTGGAGAGCTTCATCCAGATGACAGATTGAAGCTAGCTAAACCTTTGGAAACTCTCATCACGACTCTAGATTCTAATTCCAGTTGGTGGACCAATTGGTTGATCCCAGCCATTTCGGCCCTGGTGGTGGCCATGATATACCGCATGTACATAGCAGAAGACTAACCCCTACTCAGAAGCCAAGAAAGGACAGACTGAGAAGTCACTGCAATGGTCTATGGGGAAGGGCAGACAGGTCCACTGAAAATGATTGCACTGTGCCTGTCTCCCACTCTCTCTCCTACATTAGAAAAAAAATTAAATGAAAAGAGCCATTTTCTGTTCTGTCTACTCTTGAACTTGTCTTTCAGAGAATGCCTTTTTATTCATCAACCTTATTTGGATGTTTCCCCTATATAACTCAGTCATGTGACCGTTAAAAAATCATCTGGTATTGAACCTGTCCTGCCATATGTGCCTGTCTGTTTGGCATGCTCATTGTCTGTGGCATTCAGAACCCCTTGCTCATTAAGCAACATCCTTTAGTGTTCTTGTCTTCTAGACCCGAAGGCAGGTGTGACCTGAGATAAGAAAAGATGTCTCCCTGAACATCTTTGTGTCTCATCCGCTGACCAAGTACCTCACATTTCCGGAACGTATAGCCTAAAGGTTTCTGGTTGTTTTACCAGAAAAATCGGTGAGAAAAAGAAAAGGTAGGAGCCATAAAAGAGGCTTCACTTGTCACTTGTTCTCTGATCAGGAACACAGTGGCATAAACGCCCTTGAACTCTGAGAGAAAACCACATCTGCCCAACCTCTCAGCTTCAAAATAGCCTTCCGAGGACATGCTCAGTATTGTGAGTTACATGTCTTAACCATTCCTTAATAAAGGCCCAAGTGTTGCTTCCCCAATTCAACAACACCCAGATATTAAGGAGGTTATGGATCATTTGGAATCTGCTCTTGGAAAAAATGCTGCTGCCAGTGAGTGAGGACCCCTGGGAGTCAGTGAGGTTCTGCCCACCGTCTTGTGACTGGCAGCTCAGGACAGGCCGGCATGGTCACCTAATCATCCATATATTGTTCTCTACCCCAATCTTTTTGTCATTTAAACTTGGGAACCTGAGGGATAGATTATTACTAGATTCTTAGTGCTTCATAGTTAGACATGATCATGCTTGCCTATTGGCACAATAGCCACAGGAGCAATGGAGTTCTTCGGAAATGGCTAAAACTCTGGGACAGATTTTTGTACTACTGCAGAGTCTAGATTTTTATAATCAATGGCGTGCAGCCCCCTGTCTCCTCTTGCTTTGTGACTAAAACCTAGAGTGAATGTAGGCAAAGGGGTGGGGGAGGGTAGCTGTACTGCAGGTAAAATATTAGCTTGCAGGATAATCTTTTATACCAATTTTAATAAACATCCCTGGAATGAAACCTTGCCTCTTAAAAAACAAAAAAAACCCTCACTGAGGGTCAGCAGTTCGAAACTACCAGCTGTTCCATGAGAAAAAGATGAAGCTTTCTGCTTCTGTAAAGACTGACACACTCAGAAACCCTGTACAGGGTATCTATGAGTCAGAACCGATTCAGTGGTATATCTATCTATCTATCTATCTATCTATCTATCTATCTAAATACATAGAGATAAATATATATAGATTGGAAGTCCTGGTGTAATGCTGTGGGTTATTGCGCCAGACTTCAAAGCTGTTTTAACTGCAAGGGTTTCAGTTCAAGCTCACCAGTTGCCCCTCGACTACCCTGTTGTTATTGTTGTGTGCCGTGGAGTCATGTACGACCCACAGCGGCCCTGTATTAGGTTTCTGAGTCTGTAAATCATTACAGGAGAAGAAAGCCTCATCTGTCTCTGGTGTAGCAGCTGGTGGATTTCAAACTGCTGACCGTAAGGTTCGCAGCCAGGTTCTTAAGCACTACACTATCTGAGCTCCTTATAAATCCACTGCCCTACCAGAGCTCCTTATGTAACTACTGTATATATAGGGTTTTCTAAGAGCAGTTGGTGAACTTGAACTACCAACTGTCCAGTTCAATTGAATTTGAAGTCTAGCACAATAAACCACAGCCACACAGCAAAACAATGAACGTATGTGTGTGTGTGTATATATGTATATGTATATATATGTTGTTAAGTGCCGTGGAGTCAGTTACGACTTGTAGCGACCCTGCACAGGGTTTCCGAGGCTGTAAATCTTTATGGGAGCAGAACGCCTCATCTTTCTCCCGCGGAACCGCTGGTAGCTTCGAACTGCTGACCTTGCGGTTCACAGCCCAATTCGTAACCACTACGCTACCAGAGTTCATATATATACATACATACATACATACATACATACATACACACATACGTATGGAGCTCTGTTAGCGTAGTGATTACGAATCAGGCTGCGAACGTCATGGTCAGCGGTTTGAAACTACCAGCTCCTCCATTGCATAAACATGAGGCTTTCTGCTCCTGTCAATTTTTACAGCCTCGAAAACCCTATATAGGATCTCTGTGTGGGAACCGACTCCAGGAAACATAACAACATATATACATATATAAATATATATACATAAATAAATATATTAAGAGACTTGTTGTGGCACTGTGGCGTAATTCACCAAAATGCAAAGATGTTTGAATTGCAAAGTTGGCAGTACAAGCTCACCAGCTGTTCCTCATAAACCATATACAAGGTCTTATATAACAAGTTCTGGTAGAGTAGAGGTTAAGAATCGGGCTTCTAATCACCCTGGGGGTCAGCAGTTTGAAACTATCAGCTGTTCTATGCGAAAAAGATGAAGCTTTCTGCTTCCATAAGGATTTACACCCTCAGAAACCCTGTACAGGGTATCTATGAGTCAGAACCGATTCAGTGGTATATCTCTATATCTCTATATCTATCTATCTGTCTATCTATGTATCTATGTATCTATGTTATCTATGTATGTATGTATCTATCTATCTATCTGTATAAATACAAAGAGATAAATAGACAGAGACAAATTGGAAGTCCTTGAGTAATGCTGTGGGTTATTGCGCCAGACTTCAAAGCCATTTTAACTGCAAGGTTTTCAGTTCAAGCTCACCAGTAACTCCTCGGATACCCTGTTGTTATTTTTGTGTGCCATGGAGTCATGTAAGACCCATAGCGGCCCTGTATGGGTTTCCGAGGCTGTAAATCATTATGGGAGAATTAAGCCTCATCTGTCTCCCATGTAGAAGCTGGTAGATTCGAACTGCTGACTGTAAGGTTCGCAGCCAGGTTCTTAAGCACTACACTATCTGAGCTCCTTATAAATCCACTGCCCTACCACAGCTCCTTATGTACCTACTGTATATATGGGGTTTTCTAAGAGCAGTTGGTGAACTTGAACTTTCAACCACCCAGTTCAATCAGATTTGCAGTCTAGCACAATAAACCACAGCCACACAGCAAGACTACAAATATACATATATATAAATTTATATATATATGTACGTATGGAGCTCAGTTAGCGTAGTGATTATGAATCTGGCTGTTGATGTCACAGTCAGCAGTTCAAAACTACCAGCTCTTTGTTGGCAGAAAGATGAGGATTTCTGCTCCCGTGAATTTTTACAGTCTTGAAACCCTGTCTAGGATCTCTATGTCAGAAGCAAATCCAGGACACACAAAAACATATATATATTTATTTATAAATAAACATATTCAGAGTCTTGGTGTGGCACTGTGTGTTAATTCGCCAGACAGAAAAGCTGTTTGATCTGCAAAGTTGGTGGTTCAAGCTCACTAGCTGCTCCTTGTAAACCCTATACAGGGTCTTACATAAGGAGCTCTGTTGGGGTAGAGGTTACAAATTGGGCTTAAAACCTCACTGAGGGTCAGCAGTTGGAAACTACCCACTGTTTCATGCTTTAAACATGAAGCTTTCTGCTTCAATAATGATATGTTGTTGTTGAGTGCCGTCGAGTCGGTTCCGACCCATAGCGACCCTGTACAGGGTTCCCTCAGAAACCCTGTACAGGGTCTCTATGAGTCAGAAACGACTTG